CATAACATACCTACAACATGGACTCTTCCAAGACTATATAAAGTATGCGATATAATACTCTAAGAGAAGAGGAGGAAAGATAGAGAGAGAGTGTTCTAATACCGTAGTATCAGCCGCGTACGACTACCCATATTGGACACTATCACATAGTAAGCCCCGCTTACACTTACACTATTTTTGTAACCTTTTTGTTTAATATATCTTTCTTACCTCTAATCCGTGTTCCGTGGTCCCAACTTTGGGTCCACATCAGTAAGAATAATAGTAACGCTAGTTGTTTATTTTGGTTTTGATTTTTTTTATCAAATTTCCAGTCATCCAAACGATTACATCCACTAAGAGCAATGTCACTTTACAAAACTTAGAAAATGACGCCATTCCAGTAGAAACTTTTGATTGAGTAATTGACATCGACTGTACGTTTATCTGTGGATATATTTTAAAACCTATCGACGAACACAGTAACTCTTTAATTGACGGCATGGAGAAATAATGACAGCTTCCGGTAACACCGGCATGTGTCACGTGAACCGGTTTCGTGTCATCATTTCGATAGGCCGATGTGCAATCATGCTGGACAGTAAGATCTTCACCTTGCAATATGTTGAGCCTGAGCGAATGCAAATGTTCTATAACGATACCTGTCAATTTCATATGTGTCAAAACAGGTATCTGTTAGGCTACTTCTAGCAGAACTCACGCCTCCCAACTACAGAGGGAGCACATGCTTTTAAAATATTCTGCTAAGTGACTAGATACATAACTCAATTCGGTTTCGATACATAGCTTCTGATCGGCTAATTGGCACCATCTTTAGGTACATATGTATATATGTTTCAATACCTATCTTCAAACGCAACAACTATTTCTCTTGATACCATGAGAAAATAACGATAGCTTCGAGTATCACAAATTACGACTCTTTTAATGATAGAGACATAGACGACACGAAAATGTCATAAATCACCCACTGTTAGAGTGAATGCTGTATGACATTTTCGTTTTTAGAAAGACAAAAAATTAAAGCACTCATTATGGAATGTAATCACTTGTGCGAAATAAAAATATATATCCCACCACAAGACATGTATTTTAAAATGTAGATACAATATTTTATATCATGGGATTGCTTAGTGTGAAAGGATATCAGAAAAGAAAAAATATATTAAGGAGCGAGAGCAAAAAATTAGGAATTAAGAAGGAAAAAGATAACAATTTATAAGACATTAACATTTTAAAGATTAAAATTAATATATATATATATATATATATATATATATATATATATATATATATATATATATATATATATACACTAGCAGCATGGCCCGGCGTTGCCCATGCTTGATTCAAAAATCGTACAACACATACAGCAATCACTATCACTTGACTTAAAATATTTTTGCCCTTCCTTGCCTTTAAATGTGTGCCTTTTCCCGTGCTGATGTTGCTATATGCCTTACTTCTTGCCTATCTCACGCTGCGATTTTTTTTAAACATTAAAACATTAAATCTGTTACGAAAAAAGAACTAAACAAAATGAACACAGAACGATTAGCTTTGAAAAGGACTCGTAACAGGAAAAACCGAATGAAAAAAGAATGTTAACATCAAATACTTTTTCACACCCAACCCAGTTCTGCGGAATCAGAATCAACGTTGAGTTTAAGTAAGTGAATGAGCCAATTAGAGTAAAGTGCCATGCAGATTTAAATTTTTCCAACTTGTGACGAATGCTGCTATCGTTTTTTGCATGCTAGTTAAAATTCGTGTCAGTCAGCTATTGGCTCTCACGCTGACCAATAAAATCTTCACGCCTATTGGTGGCAGCCAGCTCATACTCTGGCCAGTACAAAATAGTCGCAAACTACATGAAAACTGGCATAGAAGTATTAAAAATCGATTATTTCCACTATCGATGGGAGTTGGGAAATGCAATGTCGGTCTTGGCTTTCCCGCTAACTTGGAGCATAAGCATGTAAATGTTGGTGCAAATCCGTCGAAAATGGCGGCCGTGTATTCGTTACACACACACACAAACAAACACACATATCCCACCTTATATATATATATATATATATATATATATATATATATATATATATATAAAAAGTAAACATTGAAGTCAACACTTAGAGGCGACATGCTGTTTCATGATAGACGCAATCGTCAGGCCTAGAGTGTTGTCTTTTTTCTCGGCTATTTATATATACGGAAGTCGTTTATTAGTTTATTTATTTATTTGGGTTAGATTATTTTGCAAAACAAAAACAAGCAAAATAATCTAACCCAAATAAATAAATAAGTAAAAAAATAAACGACTTCCAGCAAAAATAACCACCAAAATAGACTACCCACAATATATATATATATATATATATATATATATATATATATATATAACCCCCAGCGATGACCGTCGTTTTCATGCTTAAACGTAATGAATGACGACTGCGTTTAAGCGTGAGACCGAATGTTACCACTGGCTTTGAACTTTAATGTCAATCGTTAATAATATATATATATATATATATATATATATATATATATATCGGAGGACGCATGTTTTCTATAAAAATTTCTCAGACATTCATTATGTCGTAAATACTGTTTGTTATAAACCGTGCATTTACTTAACTATTTGTATCTATAAAAAGAACGTATTAAACAAACATTTCTTAAAACAATTAATTTGTCAACAGTAATATATATATATATATATATATATATATATATATATATATATATATTATTATTATTATTAAATTTCAATTAAAGGTGCAAATTATAATTTATAAATTCATGAATCATTCGTACAAAAAACAAATATATAATATATTTAAAACTGGCTAAGGAGTATATTTCAATATCTAATGATAAAATTGACGTCATTAGGTACTACCTAACGATATGTTGTGGATTAAAAAAAGAGTTAGTGGCAATTTTGATAACCCTATGGGGGCATTTGACGGAACTGAATTGTGAGAATTAGTAGGGTCCCTCCTATTAAATAATTTGAACAAGATTATCGACCCAAGTATCTATGCTCTATACAGAGATAATGGTCTCATTATAATAGATAAATGCACTTCCAGAAAAGGTGACATAATCCGTAAAAAATTACATTGGATGTTCAAAAGATTCGGATTTAAATTAGAAATATATATATAGACATTACCCTCGACACGTAATGACGCAATTTCTCCATTTAGGTAAAAAAACAAAAAAAAAAACAACCAATAGCCGTGTTATATTTATGTAGGTTCAAATCACACCAGTCATGTTTTAAAACATATACCAAACGGAATTAGTTATAGAGTGTCTACAGATTCATCTAGTGCTAATATTTTTAATCAAAATAAACAAGGGCCTTGGAAAATAGTGGACAAAAAAGTAAATTGATATATATATATATATATATTAATATTCATAATTCCCCCTGACACGCAAAGTAAACATAAAAATAGGACCAGGAAGATATTATGGTTTAACCCCACCTCCACCGATTACAACTGAAATCGAAAATTTTTTTTAATTTACTAAAAAAAATATTCCAACCCAACAAACGTATTGTACAAAGTGTTCAAAAGAAATTATGTTAAATTAAGTTATAGTTGTATGCTGAACATGGCTAACTTAATTAATAAATATAACGGAAAAAATCATAGACAAACCACACTCCAACCAACCTATATATAACTAAAAATAAAGGATGCCTGCCTATTTAAGGGCAGGTACCAACAAATGGTGTGGTTTACAAGGTTGAAATACACAGAGATATACCTAATAATAGTAATAAGAACATTAAATTTTACATAGGATCCACCCAGGTAATTTCAAAATGCGTTATTACAATCATTTAAATAGCTTTAAGCATGAAAATTACAAACACAGTACTAGCCTGTCTACATACATAAGGGATATTAAAAAGGAAGATGGTATTGACTCCATTTAAAAATGGGAAATACTAAGGAAACAAGTATTATGTATGGAGGAAAAATTAGCAATAGCCACCTCCGATAAACCTAAGAATTTATTAAATCAAAGATCTGAGATTTTAAATAGGTGTAGGCATAGGAAATCCTGGTTAATGGAATAGAGGCTCTGCGGGTTTTTTTTTCCTATCTTCTGTCACGAGTTTTATGCTAATTAGTTTTTAGTGGTTTTATCAATAAAAATCGTTTCGTGTCATTTCCTCTTTAGCCAGATTACGCTGAAGATCCGTTTAGGTGAAACCTAGGTAGCTTGTTCCTGGCTCTTTAAGATTTATTTTATTTATCCCAGCTCTACCAAGAGTATTGCGCACTCTACGTTTTAGAATTATTATTCACTTGGGTTTTTTTCTTTGGGCGAAAAACTTAAGGCGGTGGATGATTTGTATCGCCCTCTTCAAATGTTTCTAGTTCTTTCTTTCTTTTTCCAATTTTCCCCTTGGGGACCAATTTATTTTGATATACTTGCAAATTGTGCTTTTTTTTTACAAACCGAGTATTACTATTAGTATAATATATATATATATATATATATATATATATATATATATGTGTGTGTGTGTGTGTGTGTGTGTGTGTGTGTGTGTGTGTGTGTGTGTGTGTAAGCAAATGTAAATGGATATAGATCCGACAGAATGAAGAAAAATTTGGTAAAAACAAACAAAAATCCTTACATGCAATTATGTTGTTTAAAATGAATGAAATGTCGACGTCTGACGTTTCGGTTTAATAAACCGTCTTCAGGACAATATTCATTAAAATAGAATTCAGTTCAATTTGACAAAGACGATGGACATAAAAACAAGTCTTATCCAAAACAGATAACTGAAAATTTTTAAAATGATCAGCTTTCCGTTTAGCATGTTCACGTTGTCGTCACATGGGCGACGCTTTCGAAACGTATTCCTAAAAATTTCTGATTATTTTGAATGAAAAAAAAAAAAATCCATTTTGCTGTTAAATTGTTGACCCTTAAAGTTCAATATCTTGACTAACGCTTAAAGAAAATCAGGAACCGCCAAGTTTCCAGAAGGTTAAGAATAATTGTATAGAACAGGTGATACGCAACCATTTTGAGAGTGCGGGCCAAAACCGGCGAAAGCTCTGACAAAAAAATTTTCTACGTGCAAAGAAAAATTTTTGAAAGCTCAAAACTAGCAGCAACTAAGTTGGAACTGGGCCTACTTGAAATAAAAGTAGCAGCCTGATTTTTTTTATCTTGCTCAAATTAAGAGAAATTCTTTTTTTTTCCTCTTTAGTTTTATTGCTTAAGTTCTTATGAAGACTTTCCAACTGTCCGTTATCAGAAGAAATCCCACAAAAGATTGTTTCGGAACATAAAATACAGAAGACTTTATTTTTCTTTATTAATCATAACACATTATTCAGTCCAGTGTTCTTTGAATTCTCTAATATCTTCATTATCATTTCTTAGCTAATGATCGTGACATTCGGTATAATCTGTAAAGCGAAGAAAATAAAAATATATGAGATAATAATATACATGAAAGCGGAAAAGAATAAAAGGGAATTTAATGAATAAGTTTCGAGTGCCAGAAACAAGTCATCTGTGTGTCATGTTTGGCACGCATGCCAAGGGTTGCCGACTCCTGGTAAAGAATTTCAATGCAGTATAGAAAAAAAACACCCCGAGTCTGCAAGGATACGTAGTTACTGTAAAGCACATTGGCCAAAGATGGAAGTGGAATCCATGTGCTGTGTTCAAAATCCAGCATAGTCATTAGAGTTTAGTTTTGCACGCTTGACATACGATTACCTAAAGTAAGCAACGTCGAGTCTGGTCAATACTTAAATGGATAGTCGCATCGGGAGACCATTAGATGTGCGATGATGTTGGATGTGCGGTTGGGGAAATGGATAATTCCAGCCGGGTTTTTTTATATTTACTTACGGGCAAATGCCATTGTGAATGGTATGGATCTACCTTTTCTCCCTTCCCCCATTATGGGTTCATCAGTACGACTTATATCAGTAAATCCTCATCGGCAAAAAATGCTTATAATCTAAACCCGTGTCCTGGTCTTAAATAGCCTGCAAACGGTTGATAATCCGTAAAAAACAAAAACAGAAAAAAAAAACAAATCAATCAATCATAACATTTTCAACAAGTGACCTTGGCGAATATCATGATTCCATCTCTTTCTTCTCTTAGATATTAGTTAAATACCAGCTTAGAAAAATTTATCTCACCTTGGGTAGTAACTAGACAAACAGAAGAAAACTGTGTTCTGAGCCATGGAGAAAATAACGGGAAAAGCATTTCACGATCTTTCGCAAGCAATTATGAGATAATATGGAAAAAGAAACTGTCGAAAGCCATGACCTCCTATATCCCGAAGAGTAAAGGTAATTTAAAAAAATCATTGTTTACAATATTGTCATTAATGATATTTATTTTACACAACTGAGTAGGCTTATCTTAACGGATATGAACAGACAGAGGACTACTTCACCTTATTCTTTTGTTCATACATACTAGTTCAGAAGGTGAGACCTGGGTTCGAGACTATAGATCTTAGAACAGACAATTTTTAGCATCCAGGCTTAGTAAGGATAACTTTTTAGGCAGCGCTGTCGCAAGAAAAGTGACAGCTTCACGTGTATTTGGCTGGAAACGGTGCGCTTCTGCTATCAAACCTGTTGAATCAATTGCTAGATCTGCTGCTAGGAGAAATGGTTCCTTGAGACGTGCTGAACAATTTTTTCACTCTAGAATCTATCTTAAATATTTATAAGTCCGCTATTCGAATATTGTCGCCATATCTGATCTGGCACCACTGCTATATATTTATTGATAAAATCCAAAGAAGTATTGGTCTTGACCTGTGTTGTAACTTAGGGAAGGTTACAGAATAGAATAATTAAATGAAGGTTGGTAATGAACGATAATACGTAGGACAAGAACAACACATATAAGATTTGCCAGCGTAGAAGTAGTAATCAACTGATAGAACTGAGTCAAGGGAATTCCACAATAAACGGGGTCAGGTAGCTATTTCGTCTGTGGATCCTATCTACCCGGAGGTAGAGAGTTTCACCAGCACAGCTGGAGACGAATCCCCAACTGTAGACTATCTACCAATCGCCCCACGGATTCAGGTGTAGCACAAGGCCGAATTTAATGTAGGGGATCCGTAGTTCCCGTATAAAATGTGGTCGGGTAGCTGTTTCTCGAGACGAGACTCTGCCCTTCGATACAGCCTCGTCTGGGGATCCTCTCTGCCCGGAAACAGAGAGTTTGACCAGAAGAGCTGAAGACTAATCTCCAACTGCAGAATATCTACCAACCGCCCCACGCAGTCAGATATTGCACAAGGCCGAATTTAATGTGGTGGATCCGAGCGCGTAGGCTCGGACATAATTCTCTGTAGGCCCCCGTATAAAAAGTGGTTGGGTAGCTGTTTCCCGAGACGAGACTCTGCCCTTCCACATAGCCTCGTCTGTGGATCATCTCTGCCCGGAGGCAGAGAGTTTGACCGGAACAGCTGGAAACAAATCTCCAAGTGCAGAGCAACATACAGTATTCACTACTTATTTATGTGAACGGGGACATACCCATTATTTTCCGTAGTTATGCTACAACAACCTGGCATCTCGGCTTCAGTCACTCTCCCACCAACCACATGTAGCTTTCCTGTGTGTTTTCTATAAGTACTTTTATGGTAATTGGTATGATGAACTTTATGCTATAGTACGTAGAATTTATGAATTTAAGCGTAGTACTACATTGACAACAATTTCTCATCCTTTTATAGTTGAATTTGTTATATGTAATCGTAAGTTTTATGCCAAGAATTACTTTTCTCGCACTTCTCACCTGAGGAACCCTTTTCAAGCTTCTGCCTTTCCGGTGAAGATTGATCTTCAAAATTTAAAATGCAGTGTCAATCTTTTTTTCCTGTCTTATTGATTGCTCTCTTTTTTGTTTCTATTGTTCTCGCTCCTTAACAATATTTTTCTTTTACATATTCTTTTACACTTAGTAACCGCCCCCGTTTCGTTGTGGCTTTATTGCCTTCCCTGGAGTGAAATCTATATCTTTAGATATATTTCTCATCTTTAATATTACTGTTGCAAATGTGCGCCGTGGTCATTGGTAATTCTTTGATATCGAGCAAGATTTCGTGAAAGTGTAACTTATTTGATGTGCTGCATCGGGCAAGTAGAAACGAATATGCGCTATATTCAGCCTGGAAGATATATCGTTTCAGAAAGTTGAGCTGATTACGCTGGAATTGAGGATATCCCCCACGGGATATATTCTGACGACATCGTTATTCATCAGGCCGCATATTGTGAGCCCTCGTGATGACATCATACATACTGATAATGTGGACAACCTTTGGATACGCGTCAAGCGTAAACTTCGTGGACAGCTTGGATCTTCTGAGGCGTTGTTCACATCGCCTCTTCATGAATCCGTGTGTCGTCAGCGATATAAGAACAGGCCTGTGTTTTCAGCATTTATTTGCTGCATAGTGCACCATTAGACTTTGTAATAATGTTTTATTATAATAAACGTATATACCTTTAGTCTTACAGGGAATATCCGTTTATTTTAACAAACTTTCAAGAGTAGATAATAATTTATGTCTGAATTTCTGTGATGATTTGATTGATTTGTTTCAGGCCGGTGAATGTTGTGTAATATTGTTTATTATTTACTTAAATATTTGTATGTATAAAAGGAATGTTAAACATAAAAAATGTCTTAAAATAATTGATTTGTTTGTTTAAAGGCGTATGAACGTCCTCATTAGTCACTTAATACCGAGATTTCAATGTCTTCGGATATTTAATTAATACAAATATTAGGTTGTCCCTAAATTTCGTAAACACTTGCAAAAAATTGAAATTTTACTCGCCAAGTAATAACAAAAATAACAAAAATTATTCCTCAAAATAAAGACCATCATTTTCCAAGACTTTCTGCCATCGATCTCCAAGCTTTCGGATCTGGTGAAAGTACCATTCAGCCGGCTTCGAATCAAAGAATTCTTGACAAGCTTCCTCGACTTCATCAAACGAGTCGAATCGGCGGCCCTTCAGAAAGTGTTGCATTGAGCGGAAAAGGCCGTAATCTGATGGAGCACAGTCAGGACTGTAGGCTGGATGTGGCAGAACCTCAACGCCGTCCAGCTCTTCAAACTTGTCTTTGGTCTTCCTGGCGATGTGTGGCTTGGCATTGTCCTGCTGCATCAAAGCGCGCTTTCGTTTGATCAGAGCCGGGTACTTTTGCTTCAACTTTTCGTAGACCCGCTCCAGTTGTTGACAGTAAAGTTCGGCACTGATAGCACGACCATTCGGAACCAACTGAAAATGCACGATTCCTTCAAAGTTCCACCAAACGCACAACATGACTTTCTTGCCGAATCGATCTTGTTTTGGAACCGACGGTGTCTCTTGCCCTTTCTGAACCCATCGCTTGTCTCGATTGTGCTGGATTGTGTTGCATAAAAATTCAATTTTTCGCAAGTGTTTACGAACCTTTGGGACAACCTAATATGATGTTATTCTCCATTCACAATTGAATAGATGATACTTATTTTTTGTGCATTTACATGTTTGTGCAGAGGTAATTACTAGCAGCAGTGATATGTACGTTTTATGTAGTTTTGTTAATGTTATATTTTGGAATACAGTTTGATAACTAAGAAATTATAGAATATTACATGAATTAAGGTCATGAAAAAGTTCTTTCATGTTAGTTGCCTGGTTGGTTGATTATGTTTAGCGGGATATCAACACATCTAAAGACTTTGAACACAATTTTATAGACTATTGTCCTCATCTTTGTCGCCATATTTATTACAACGTTTCAGCCGTTGTACGCTCCGGCCTTCTTCAGGTAGTTGGAATGTCGAACTGAATTTTTTATTTCGCTCACTGGGGTAGACTGTTCTCGTTCCACGTGCGATGTTTAATGGATGTCAGTTATCAGTTATCTCCTGTTGATTCCCCCTCTCGAAGTTCTCCACTGATCAAGTGACAACACCCAAAGAGTGTGTGTTCAATATCCGGTTAAGGCAGTTAAGACGACCTCATCTCAGAAATATAGACAGATACAATTTTATGGCTTCAACTAAATATATTTAAAACGCAATAGCATGCTTTCATTTACAGATAAAATGTATTGTTGGTCATTTTACTCTAAGTGGATATTATTGTACATTTTTATATAAACATGTATTTTACTATAAAAATATATCTTTATACTTTCATAGTGTTTTGGTTTCGTCTGAGGGTTCACTATTTACCCATAGCTGGGACCCTAACAGGTCACGGCGGTCCTGGAAACAACGGCGATTAATATTTTGATCAAAGCTCCTCAAAACCTCCATTATTTACTCTGGGAATATTACCCTTACCATTATTTACTCTGGGAATATTACCCTCATTGTCTTTGTTGTTGTTATCCCAACGACTGAAAATTTGTGATAGCAACAACAAAGATGATGAGAGCAATGTCCCGTGCGTAAAAATTGTAAATAAACGATTATTTTCATACTGTTAAGCGTTGTGTGCTTCTGATATTAAATCTTTTGAAATCCCACTGTGGAAATTTCCAGATATAACCATAGGCACTTTACTAATGGTTTAACTTCCAGCTTTTATCGCTGGAGGAAATTCCTTCCGGCTCCTACAAACATTTATATATAATATCAGTCGTCATCGTCCTGTTAGATTGAAAGCGAAAGAGGCACTGCCCGGTAAATCAATACCGAATAGTTCTTTATAAGTAAACAACTAATAACGTTATTTAGTAAGTTATATGGCATGCAGGATCATATACCTTCCAACACATGACTGACGTGGCAGAATTTTTCCTGCAATAGGTTGCCATTTCTTTCTTCGGTAGACCAGTTGCCATCCAAGGCTGTAGAACCCATTCTGTCCTGCTATTTATCCATAGCTTAGGAATTCTAGTGCCATGCAATACACGCTTAGGCGATCATGTATCTTTCGATATATCATTGACCAGGCAGATTTTTCTCTTGCAGTAGGTTGCCATTTCATTCTACGGTAGACCAGTCGCCAACCAAGACCCGGTCTGTCCTGCTATTTACCCATAGGGGAATTTTAGTGCTATGCGTGATACACGCTTAGGCGATCTTTCGATACATGACGGACGAGATAGTTATTTTTCCCGCAGGAGGTTGCCATTTCTTTCTGCGGTAGACCAGTTGCCATCCAAAGTTATAGAACACGGTCTGTCCTGCTATTTACCCATAGAGGGGGGAGAAGAAGATGATTCATACGTTTCCTAAGTGTATTAACACGTAAGTGAATGTAATGGATTCGACTGAAATTCAAATTCGGGTTTCCGATTCCTCATTCCGAGCCGCTATCCATTACTTCACCAAGCCTCATCCCTCTCTCTTTCTCTCTCAATCTCTCTCTCTCTTAACTCTCTCAATCTCTCTCCCCTCTCTCTCCCTCTCTCTCTCTCTCTATATATATATATATATCCACCGAGCCTCACCTCTCTCTCTTTCTCTCTCAATCTCTCTCTCTCTCTCTCTCTCTATATATATATATATATATCCACCGAGCCTCACCTCTCTCTCTTTCTCTCTCAATCTCTCTCTCGCTCTCTCTCTCTATATATATATATATATATATATCTCACCAATCTCTCTCTCTCTCTCTCTCTCTCTCTCTCTCTCTCTCTCTATATATATATATATATATATATATATATATATATATATAATTATTATGTTATTACCATTATTCAATCTGTTGTAATTGCAGGTACTATTTGCACTCCTATCATGTTTTTGAAGGTAGGAAACGATATTGAAGACTATATTTAGGACCCAGAGACTTCGAACATTAAATCACCTGCATATAATTATAGAATAACTGTCATTATTTTTACGGCTATTTTTACCATACATTTGTGGGAAGGACATTACGTTAATCACTAGATTTAGAATTCTGACACTTTTATATTTTCTCTCTTTCACTCTTTTCATTTCGTTATAATGCGTTCTTTTTTTTGTTGCCTTTCCTTATATTAGCTTGTCGGATAAATCCGTTCGTGTTTCTTTCAGTGTTATTTGAATGGCAATGTGTTTTCTTTTTTCTTTTTCGCTTTTCCTCTTTTCGTTTATTCTATTGCAATATTGTAAAATAGTAAAGGGTTGGGAAGCTTTAGTTTATTAATTTAGCATTATCACTGAAAAACATGTCATTTGGTGTGATGGCTGGCTACAAGAGAGACAGGTGATATGGAATGTCTTTATTTTATTACCACATGCCTCAGATTTAGTTGTTTTTTTTTGGGTTTTTGATTTTTAATAATGGGAGAAATGGCTACTGGTTAAAGTCAACAAAAGAAAATGACAAGGAATATCTTTACTCACTAAAATCAGTAAAGAAAAAAAACAAAAAAACAAAAGAAATCCTTACAGTCTAAAATCAGTAAATGAAAATAACTAGTGATAGTCTTACGGCTTAAAATCAATGTCGTAAAAAGACCAAATAAATCCTTATGGTCTAATATGTTGAAAATTAAAATAATAATAAATATATTTTGTTAATTTTTCATATTGTTGAAATTAAGAGTAAGTATCGTTGCCGACACTGTGGTTTGAAACTAGATCACCAGTGAGCAACACGGTCGATTCCACGTTATCATAAAGAAAGTGAATAAATACGAAGTAGCGTAATGTTCACTGATCCCTATTCCTCCTCTATACTTTACTACTATACGGTTCACCGTTCACTCTTCTTGTCTATCCATTATTGCTATACGTTCACTCTCTCTCTACTCTACTACTATATAGATTACGATTCTCTTCTGATCCTCATACTATTTGGAGATTACTACTTGAATAAGTATTACTAGTGCGGATATTATTGGAAGGCCTTGCTACTAGTACCGGCGACTACGAAGTTTCGAATATAACGAGCATTTTAGGAAGTGATAACGAACTTTCGCTTGACATAGCAAAAGTGACAAGCAAAGCCGTCCAACGTCACAAAACATATGTACGCTTATTATACAGATACGCTATATTTTATTTTATTTTTAAATGTACCTGTGACACCACTGGAAAGGCTCTAGTAAATTGAAAAACTAGAAGACAGAAAAACACGAATTTCCGATAGACTAAAGATATACCGATGACCAGACGAAGGAAAATGAAAGAAAAGGATGTTTGTTTTTAATTGAGAAAAAAATATAGAAGACAGAAAAACACTAAATTCCGATAAACTGAAGGTATACCAATGACCAGGCGAGGGAAGATGAAAGAAAGGACATTTTTTTTGTTGTTTTTTTCTTATTGGGAAAAAAACTGGAAGAAAGTAGTTAAATTTCTCGTCTGCCGAAGAGGTAAAAGAAAGAGACCATCTGCTTTCGTTTAGAACTGAGATTAAGTGATGAACTATTCTGGAGGTCCATAGACCTCCCGGAAAGAAACAGATATTATTTTTACGACCGTTGAGTGACTGAGAGGAAACCAGACATCTGGCTGCGAGTTCGGTCGATTGATAAGGATTAACTTTTTAAACGCAAACGAGTTCCCGGAAGTACATATGTGGAGAAGGACAATTAAATTTTTTGTCTACTGAAACGCGAAAAAACTTCCCAAAAACAAGTGAGTGTTTCCTTTTTGTCACATGATGGCCAATGGGCTGATGAGGGGATAGCAAAAAGATAGATACCCGATGTGAAAACGACCACACCCAAAAGCACGATATGAAATAATTTTGAACGATAATTAAAATCTAGTCGTCTGGGCAAGACCACGCCTGGTCGTTGGGGAACGGGTTTGATCAGGTGACCAAGAAGGAGAGGGCCCAGGTGAAATTACAGGGAAGGCGGAGGACTTTCCACCCTCCTCGGGTAGTGATGGTGAAAGGCACTCACACAAAGCAGGAAGGAGATTGGTTTGATCAGGTAACAAAAAGAAAGAAGGCCCAGGTAGAATTCCAAGAAGGGAGAAGGGACTCCTCTATATTTATACATTTGCAGTGAGACCCCTGATTGGTTGTTTGGGGAATTTTGTCCTTCTCAGAACACATCATTCCCCCACCTCAGTCGTTGCACAGGCGTCCATAAAAGCGAAACGCGGAGATACCTAGGAGAGACACGGGAGAGAGAGAAACTGCAAAGACAAGAACAAACGGGACGAGATCTACCGCTTCGCCCTGATCTCATGTGATTTGCCGCCGTGAAGAAAAAGTCTCCAACTTAAAGCCTTGTTCTAGAAGTCTCGTTCCAAAATCATAACGACATTATGTCACGATAATAGGGCAGGGTCCATAGTTATTACATGGAGATTATAGGCCTGCTTAAGCTATCAATAACTGTGTCGGAGTTATCTCCTCCTTAATTTCATAATTGTTCACTAGAGGTCACTTTCTCTACAATATAAATACTGGGCAACTTCTTACCTAGTTCTCTTTTTCACTTTTCATTTCAGCGGACACATTTAAAAATGATATCTCTCAAAGAGACCCGCTCTTTCGCCCACTTGTGGGAAAACGCCATGAAAAACACATACATGTACGTACGAATATTCACCAAAATTTAAACTCTTTATGACCACACACAAACACAAATCTTAATATCTTTGTCACTTGTAAATTTGTTGTTTAATACATATATTTTTGATATATATATATATATATATATATATATATATATATATATATATATATATATATATATATATATCGTCTTGGGTGTTTTCTTTACATCTTAGGTTGGACTCAACTTGAGTCCGCATTGTTCTTGTAGTTGGACCTTCTAGCAGTAAGAAACAGCACGTGTTCCTAATTTAGCAACACTCAAAACCCACACGGTCATCTATAACTGTACCATCAACTTTGTCTCAAGGAAGTGTATACAAATATTTTTTCTTTCACCCATTTTTTTTATCTTCTTTCGGGTAACTTTGTTATGACCGGACAAAACCAAGTCATCGATTCCTGTCAGCCATTCGGACAAAGCCAGTTTAGCGATCAACTGAAACAACGTGGGTCGAGATAAGACTTAGGCCGAAGCGATCAACTCTACGATCAACCGAAATCAATCGAACGGAGCAGCTGGTGAAGATGCCATATATCTACATGTGAAAACATTAGAAGATATGTCTGCTAGTTTAATGATCTGTTTTTATCGCAGACGCTTATTATCGTCTGATTTAGCGATGATGTTCTATGTACTCCGGGGAAAATGAAAGAAAAGATAACTGGTCAGTTTATTTTGTGCATACAGAGTTTTCAAGTGTGCATGTAAATTGACTCGTTTCAGTTTGGAGATGCTCATAAAGGAGCGAATTAGCGCCTTCCGGTGAGGCCTTGATCTTTTCTTTGAGCCAGAATAGAGGGTGATGTCATCATCCCTATCTTCCTCAACTCAAGTAAGTGAATAATAACACAACAGGAGATATAAACGTCTCCATGACGACCGGCAACTACAGAACAGAGCGAAATATCGAATCATGAACAAAGCGGTTTTGCAATTTTCAAGGCATCCTTTAACGAGAGGCAAAAATATTAATTTTAAATATCCCGCAGAGTACGCCGATATTTTAAAAGGTTAGACCATTAGTGTTCGCTTGAAAGATTAAAAAAAATAGTAGCTCTGATGAAAGAGCTAAGATATCGTTATCTTTCCGCTTGTAAATAGAAAAATCATTTATTTACATGTCTGATGTTAAATGATTGGTAATAATCCCATAGCACTTAACCTACCATTAGTGAAATTCAAGTACTATTCATTTATGCCAACATGTAACTGTTGTTCATATTGTAAATATAAATTCTCTTTCTTATTTCTACAACTATCAAGTGTTTTGTCGTTTGTTTCTTTATACAGTTAGTTTCCATTGTTAAACTTCATTTCGGACATGTTGTCGCTTATACCCGAACGTGTATAAACATTTTTTTATCTGAAATTATTATCCCGTAAACGTTCGAGATTGCAGGCGTTATCTTCCAATTTATTTTCCGATAAACGGAAGAAAATGAAGATGAACAAAGAAAAGTTTAATGTCTGAAATCTGTGAAGGTAAATGACAAGTAAAATCCTTTCGGTCTAAAATCAGTAAACGAAAGAAACAAGTGAAATCCATACGGTTTAAATCAGTAAGGAAAATGACCAAGGAAATCTTTAAAGGAAAATAAATACTGACTAAAATCAGTAGACGTCATTTTTCTGTATTTATTTAAGTAGTCAGTATCACCTTTTTCCTTTAAAGATTTTAGACAGTCAGGGTTTCCCTGGTCTTTTTTTTCCTTTACTAATATCCCTGGTCTTTTTTTTCCTTTACTGATTTCCCTGGTCTTTTTTTTTTTTTTACTGATTTCCCTGGTCTTTTTTTTTTACTGATTTCCATGATCTTTTTTTTTTTTTACTGATTTCCCTGGTCTTTTTTTCCTTTACTGATTTCCCTGGTTTTTTTTTTTTACTGATTTCCCTGGTCATTCTTTTCCTTTACTGATTTCCATGATCTTTTTTTTTTACTGATTTCCTGGTCTTTTTTTTTTCCTTTACTGATTTCCCTGGTCTTTTTTTTCCTTTACTGATTTCCCTGGTCTTTTTTTTCCTTTACTGATTTCCATGGTCTTTTTTCCTTTACTGATTTCACTGGTCTTTTTTCCTTTACTGATTTCCCTGGTCTTTTTTTTCCTTTACTGATTTTCCTGGTCATTCTTTTCCTTTACTGATTTCCCTGATCTTTTTTTCCTTTACTGATTTCCATGGTCTTTTTCTTCCTTTACTGATTTCCATGGTCTTTTTTCCTTTACTTATTTCCCTGGTCTTTTTTTCCTTTACAGATTTCCATGGTCTTTTTTTTCCTTTACTGATTTCCATGGTCTTTTTTCCTTTACTGATTTACCTGGTCTTTTTTTTCCTTTACTGATTTCCATGGTCATTTTTCCTTTACTGATTTCCCTGGTCTTTTTTTCCTTTACTGATTTCCATGGTCTTTTTTCCTTTACTGATTTACCTGGTCTTTTTTTTCCTTTACTGATTTCCCTGGTCTTTTTTTTCCTTTACTGATTTCCCTGGTCTTTTTTTTCCTTTACTGATTTCCATGGTCTTTTTTCCTTTACTGATTTCCCTGGTCTTTTTTTTCCTTTACTGATTTCCCTGGTCATTCTTTTCCTTTACTGATTTCCATGATCTTTTTTTCCTTTACTGATTTCCATGGTCTTTTTCTTCCTTTACTGATTTCCCTGGTCTTTTTTTTCCTTTACTGATTTCCCTGGTCTTTTTTTTTCCTTTACAGATTTCCATGGTCTTTTTTTTCCTTTACTGATTTCCCTGGTCTTTTTTTTCCTTTACTGATTTCCCTGGTCATTCTTTTCCTTTACTGATTTCCCTGATCTTTTTTCCTTTACTGATTTCCATGGTCTTTTTTTCTTCCTTTACTGATTTCCATGGTCTTTTTTTTCCTTTACTTATTTCCCTGGTCTTTTTTTTCCTTTACAGATTTCCATGGTCTTTTTTTTTTTTACTGATTTCCATGGTCTTTTTTCCTTTACTGATTTACCTGGTCTTTTTTTTTCTTTACTGATTTCCATGGTCATTTTTCCTTTACTGATTTCCCTGGTCTTTTTTTCCTTTACTGATTTCCATGGTCTTTTTTTTTACTGATTTACCTGGTCTTTTTTTTTTTACTGATTTCCTTGGTCTTTTTTTTTCCTTTACTGATTTCCCTGGTCTTTTTTTTTTTTTTTTTTTACTGATTTCCATTGTCTTTTTTCCTTTACTGATTTCCCTGGTCTTTTTTTTCCTTTACTGATTTCCCTGGTCATTCTTTTCCTTTACTGATTTCCATGGTCTTTTTTCCTTTACTGATTTACCTGGTCTTTTTTTTCCTTTACTGATTTCCTTGGTCTTTTTTTTCCTTTACTGATTTCCCTGGTCTTTTTTTTCCTTTACTGATTTCCATTGTCTTTTTTCCTTTACTGATTTCCCTGGTCTTTTTTTTCCTTTACTGATTTCCCTGGTCATTCTTTTCCTTTACTGATTTCCATGATCTTTTTTTCCTTTACTGATTTCCATGGTCTTTTTTCTTCCTTTTTTACTGATTTCCATGGTCTTTTTTCCTTTACTGATTTCCCTGGTCTTTTTTTCCTTTACAGATTTCCCTGGTCTTTTTTTTCCTTTACTGATTTCCATGGTCTTTTTTCCTTTACTGATTTCCCTGGTCTTTTTTTTTCCTTTACTGATTTCCATGGTCTTTTTTCCTTTACTGATTTCCCTGGTCTTTTTTTTCCTTTACTGATTTCCATGGTCTTTTTTCCTTTACTGTCTTCCATGGTCTTTTTTTTCCTTTACTGATTTCACTGGTCATTTTTTTCCTTTACTGATTTCCCTGGTCTTTTTTTTTCCTTTACTGATTTCCATGGTCTTTTTTCCTTTACTGATTTCCCTGGTCTTTTTTTTCCTTTACTGATTTCCCTGGTCTTTTTTTTTCCTTTACTGATTTCCATGGTCTTTTTTTCCTTTACTGATTTCCATGGTCTCTTTTTTCCTTTACTGATTTCCCTGGTCTTTTTTTCCTTTACTGATTTCCCTGGTCTTTTTTCATTTACTGATTTCCCTGGTCTTTTTTTTCCTTTACTGATTTCCATGGTCTTTTTTTTCCTTTACTGATTTACCTGCTCTTTTTTTTTCCTTTACTGATATTAGACCGTATGGATTTTCCTAGTCTTTGTCCGTTACTAGTTTTGAGAGTAAATTTGCCCATGTCTTTTTCATTTACTGATATTTGACAGCAATATTTTCATATGTCATTTTGTTTTACTGATTTTAGACCATAAGTTATTCATTTACTTATTTTTGGTTTACTGAATGAAGTAAGGGTATCTCTGGACTTTTTTCTTTGCTTCCCTGGTCTGTTTTTCTTTAATGATGTTATAACATAAGCTTTTCTCCAGTTTATTTGGTTTAATAATTCTAGACAGCAATGGTTTCCTTGCTCTTTTTATTTACTGATTTCAGAATTTAAGTATTTCCCTTGTCTTATTTATCCCTAATTTTAGAGCGTAAATATTGCGTAGATGTTTTTCCTTTACTGAGTTTAGACCTGAAGGAATTCCATGTACTTTTTCCTTTACTAATTTTAGACATTCAGAATTTCCCTGATTTGTTTATTTACAGATTTAAATATTAAGGATTTCTACGGACTATTTCCTTTACTGATTTTAGACTTTGAGAATTTGCCTGATCTTTTAATTTTACAGATTTAAACATTAAGGATTTCCATGGACTATTTCCTTTACTGATTTTAGACGTTAAGAATTTCCCAGATAGTTTCCCTTTACTGATTTTAGGCAGTACGAATTTCCTGGATCTTTTCCTTTGCAAATTTGAAACAGTAAGCTTTTAGCAGATATTTCAATTTCACAGATTTAAGATATTAAGTATTTCTGACCTTTTTGCTTTCAAGATTTTAAACATTAAGAATGTCCATGTACGTTTTTCTTTACTACTTTTAGACAGAAAGAATTTCCTGGATATTTTTCTCTTTCAGATTTTAAACATTAAGGATTTCTACGGACTATTTCCTTTACTGATTTTAGACTTTAAGAATTTCCCTGATATTTTTACGTTAGAGATCTTAGGCATTAAGGGGTTAATCTGATCTTTTTCCTTTACTGATTCTAGACAGTAAGTATTTTTCTGGTTTATTTCTTTTATTGATTTTAGACAGAAAATATTTCCCTTGTCATTGTCCTTTACTTATGTTAGACCGTAAGGTTTTCTCTTTGTCTTTTACTATTACTGATTTAGACATTAATGATTTCCCTTGTCTATTTCTTTTACTGATTTTACACAGGAAGGATTTCCCTTTTCCTTTTCCTTTACTGATTTTAAACAGAAAAATAATTTCTCTGGTATTTTCGCTTACCGATTTTAGACTGTAATGATTTCCCACGTCGTTTTCCTTTACTGATTTTAAACAGAAAAGTTCTCTCTTATATTTTCCCTTTACTTATTTCGAACTGTAAGAATTTCTCTGGTATTTTCGCTTACTGATTTTAGACTGTATTGATTTTCTCAAGTCTTTATTTAAAGATTTCAGAGCGTATGTATTTTTCATTACTGATTATTGACAGCCATTTTTCTTTACTCATTTATAATGTATATATTTTCCTGATCTTTTTCCTTTTCAATTTTTTGACAGTAAGAATCTCTCTCGTATTTTTCTGTTACATATTTTAAACAGTTAGGATTTCCCTGATCTTCACTTATTTAATGCAACATATATTCCCCTTGTATTTTTCTGTTACTTATATCGGACTGTATGTATTTCTCTGGTCCTTTTCTTTTACTAAATTAGGACAGTAATGATTTCACTGATCTTTTTCTTTTAATCATTTTAGACTTTAAGTATTTCCCTGCTCTTTTTTTTACTTAGTTTAGATATAAAGATTTCCCTGGTCTTTTTACTGAACTGATTTTAGAAGATAATGATTTCCCTTGTCTAATTCATTTACTGATTTTAAGCAGTACGGGTTTAAATGGTCATTTTTCCATCATTGATTTTTGAAAGTAATTATTCCCTCGTCTTTTTCATTTACTGCTTTTAGACAAGAATCTTTTCCTTGTTTTTTTTTCCATTACTGATTTTGACAGAAATGATTTCCCTTCTATATTTCTTTTACTTATATCCGACTGTAAGTATTTCTCTGGTCCTTTTTCTTTTATTGAATTTTGACCGTAATGTCTTCCTTTGTCTTTTTTCCTTTTCTGATTTTAGACCGTAAGGATATCCCTGTTCCTTTCCTCCCTTACTGATTTCAGAAAATATGGATTTATCTTGCCTAATTCATTTACTGATTTTAAACAGTACTGTCTTATATTGCCTTTTTCCTTTACTGATTTTAGGTAGTGCGAATTTCCCTGATCATTTTTCTTTACTGATTTTAGACAGTGCCACTTTCCCTGATCGTTTACGTTTACTGATTTTAGGCAGCGTGAATTTCCCTGATCCTTTTCGTTTACTGATTTTAGGTAGTGCGAATTTCCCTGATCTTTTTTCTTTACTGATTTTAGACAGTGCGAATTTCCCTGATCGTTTACTGATTTTAGGCAGTGTGAATTTCCCTGATCCTTTTCGTTTACTGATTTTAGGCAGTGCGAATTTCCCTGACCGTTTTCGTTTACTGATTTTAGACAGTGCGAATTTCCCTGATCGTTTTCATTTACTGATTTTAGGCAGTACGAATTTCCTTGATCGTTTTCGTTTAGTGATTTTAGGCAGTGCGAATTTCCCTGATCGTTTTCGTTTAGTGATTTTAGGCGGTGCGAATTTCCCTGATCGTTTTCGTTTACTGATTTTAGACAGTGCGAATTTCCCTGATCGTTTTCGTTTACTGATTTTAGACTGCGAATTTCCCTGATCGTTTTCGTTTACTGTTTTTAGACAGTGCGAATTTCCCTGATCGTTTTCGTTTACTGATTTTAGACAGTGCGAATTTCCCTGATCGTTTTCGTCTACTAATTTTAGGCTGTGCGAATTTCCCTGATCGTTTTCGTTTACTGATTTTAGACAGTGCGAATTTCCCTGATCGTTTTCGTTTACTGATTTTAGGCAGTGCGAATTTCCTTGACCGTTTCCAATAACGTTTACATGATAAAATCTGATCGATTATTCTAAAATTCACTACTCCTTGAAATATCTATAATATACATACATACATATATATTATGAAATTGACAAAGTCCGACAATTATTTTAAGTCATTTTTATGTTTATACATTCTTTTTATAGATACAGATATTTAAGCAAATGCTCTGTTTATAATAAACAGTATTAAACAACATTTACCAGCCTGAATGTCCGAGAAATTTTCACAGAAAATATTCGTCCCCCGACAGGATTCAAACCTGTATCCTATACGGAACCGTCATTTACCTTGATGTGCCTTTACCGATTTGGCCACAGAGGAGCGTTCGGTTAGCAAGTTTGAATTTACTGTATTTAAACTTCAATCTTCTATGAATTTCTCACGTACATTCATATCTGCTCATGGCGTATCAAATGTAAACGAATGACGTCACACATTATGAAATGGACAAAGTCCGACAATTATTTTAAGACTTTTTTATGCTTATACATTCTTTTTATAGATACAGATATTTAAGCAAATGCTCTGTTTATAATAAACAGTATTAAACAACATTTACCAGCCTGAATGTCCGAGAAAATTTTACAGAAAATATTCGTCCTCCGACAGGATTCGAACCTGTATCCTATACGAAACTGTCATTTGTATGGAGGGACGGTGTAGTAATGGATAGCAGCTCGGATTGAAGAATCGGAGAGCCGAGTTCGAATTCCAGTCAAATTCATTATGTTAACTTGTACTAAGACACTTGTGAAAAGTATGAATCCGGTAAATAGCAGAACAGACTGTGTTCTATAGCATTGATGGCAACTGGTCTAGGAGAAGGACAACTCTGAATTCAAAACCTGCGGACGGTCGTTTGGAGACCTTGTGCCACGTGGCGAACCAGGTCTCTGTATTCGGCTCTTCAAAAATGGTAGTAGGTTCTTCACAAAACTATAATTTTCTGCTAGTGACATCTCTTCCAAATTTCTCCTCTAATATTCTCCAATTGGAAGTGAATTTTAAATAGCACGAAGGGAAAGTTTTAGATTAGTATTTTAATTGAGATTGAAAGATACTACCCCAGTGTGGAAAATAAAATTATTTAAATGGGAATAACTGTTGATAATTGGATACATAAAAACAACCACGAGTTTACTTAATGAACAAAAATCAAAAACAATCACGAGTTTACATAATGAACAAAAATCAAACGAATAAATGTCAACCTAACAAGCTATAAGATAAAAGCTTTAGTGGAAAAAGTACTAAATATAAATGGGATTACTCTTTCAATGTTCTGTCTATGGATTTTTCCAATCGATTGCTTCATAGAAAATACCCAAAACTCCACCGAATTTCAAATTAATTTCTTCGTAGATTGTTTGAAAATTTAGATATTTATCAAACCTTAACCTCCCAAATATACACGTTAAATTAACGCGAACTGACAGCGTCTAAGAATTTGAATGAAACCTGTCGTGTAATTTATTGGGGCTGTTGTAACGTCTCCCTTTAATGTAGTTCTTATCACTCACCCCTTAACCACCTTTATCTAGAGACGAGACGCGTTAAATTTGAGCAACATCCAGCCGACACACTGGGGTTAAAATAGGAAACTAAAATGATACATATGACACACTCATATCCTCTCTCCCACCCCACTTCCTCACTTCGTTAACTTTGCGTATACTTGATGAAGTCCGTAAAAAACGTGTGAATTTCTTTTCATTTTTCATTTCAGCTTTTGAAGTAAGTCTGATGATCCAGAACCCTGTTAAAGGGGTTATGGTGAAATAACTTATTACATGGAATCTTAACGTGGTCTGTCTTTTATTCAAACATATCTGCTCTGAATTTTACATTGAGCTCTCTGGATATCATCCTCCTCAGGTCTACCCATACGGATTACCTAAATTTGCATAAACTAACTATATATATATATATATATATATATATATATATATATGTGTGTGTGTGTGTGTGTGTGTGTGTGTGTGTGTGTGTTCCTTAATTATAGGTAATTTTCAGAAAGTTTAAATTTTGCTGCTTCTACTCCCTAATCATGTCCCAATCAACAAAAAAACGGAGTCTGCAAAATTTCAGCTCAATCGGAAAACTGCTAGGTGACCCACAAACGCCTTGAAGTTGGAACATAATATACACAACCATTAGTTCCGTTTAAAAGCCGAATGCTCTTCCATATCTCGACCATTTTCTTTTTTATTCTTAGAGAAATTTATGTGGACACATTCAGGCAACCACAGAAAATGCTCAAATATTTCTGAATGAAATTTGCCAAAAATTCATTAAAAAAATCCTTGAAATAACATGAAGAATTTAAGAAATATTAGCTTTTCTTTAAAAAGCGCACAACGTCTATAAGAGAAACATTTTTTTATTTACAAAAATAATTCCTATAGAATCAAAAATATAATTTAAACACTGAACATTATTTTTTGCCTGTATAATTCAGAAGGAACTGGGATCTCTCTTCCACCACTATTGAGAATGGAACAGTCGACTGTAGATATAAGCAATTTTTTTCCACATGTATTGATAAAGCGGGCACCTCGGCGTGGTGTAATTGTTAGCAAGCTTGTCTGGCTAGAACAATTCGATCCTCACTGGGTGCTCCATACTTTCGGCCTTGTGCCACATCTAAGCAGCGCTTAGAAAAGGTTTGGGCACCTCGAGGTGGTATAATGGTTAGCAAGCTTGTCTCGCTAGAACAATTACGAAAGAGTAGTGAGTTCGATCCTCACTGGGTGCCCCTTACTTTGGGCCTTGTGCCACATCCAAGCTAAGCTTGGAAAATAACTAAAGTGGAATAAAGCGGGCACCTCGGCGTGGCGTAATGGTTAGCAAGCTTGTCTCGCTAGATCAGTTACGACTGAAAAGTGAGATTGATCCTCACTAGATGCCCAGTACTTTGGGCCTGGTGCCACATCTAAGCAGCGCTTAGAAAATAACTAAAGTGGAATAAAGCTTATCTTTATATTTATTTGGTTTCTTTGAGCTTTCTGTTTTCAATACATTGCCTAAGAAAGGATTTACTGGCAGTTGGGTATGTTTTACGGTTTTCGGTAACGATCTGTAAAACAAATTGTTTCCCAGTTTCATCTTTTGTGAGAATGTTATTGTAATCCTGAATTCATTTGACACTTCATTCTGCAACATCATTCACAACAACTGCCTTCTCAAGTTTTTCAAGTCCACTTTAGTACCCAGGAATATCCTTTCATACTGCATTGGCTTTGTCGAGGAAATCGGTCCTGATAGAAAATATCGTGAAGAAGGCTTTTGTACCAGGAGTTACAAAAGATAAAAACACGATGTTTGTAAAGTAATAAAATTCATTTTGTTGCAGGATGTAGCTGTTCATTTGATCTTCTTCTTCTGCCCCTCCTTCTTCTTTTTCATCTTCTTCTTCTTCTTCTCCTCCTCCTTCTTCTTCATCTTCTTCTTCTTTTCCCCTTCTTCTTCTTCTTCTCCCCTTCTTCTTCTTCTTCTCCCCCCTCCTTCTTCTTCATCTTCTTCTTCTCCTCCTCCCCCTCCTCCTTCTTCTTCTTCTTCTTCTTCTCCTCCTCCTCCTTCTTCTTCTTCTTCTCTCCCCCTCCTCCTTCTTCTTCATCTTCTCCTCCCCTTCTTCTTCTTCTTCTTCTTCTCCTCCCCTTCTTCTTCTTCTTCTTCTCCCCCCTCTTCTTCTTCTTTTCTTCTCCCCCTCCTTCTTCTTCATCTTCTTCTTCTCCTCCTCCCCCCTCCTTCTTCTTCTTCTTCTTCTCCCCCTTCTTCTTCTTTTCTTCTTCTTCTTCTCCCTTCTTCTTCTTCTCCCCTTCTTTTCTTCTCCTCCCCTCCTTCTTCTTCATCTTCTTCTCCTCCTCCTCCTCCTCCCCACTTCCTTCTTCTTCTTCATCCCCTCCTCCTTCTTCTTCATCTTCTTATTCTTCTCCTCCCCTTCTTCTTCTTCATTATCTCATCCCCCTCCTCCTTCTTCTTCATCTTCTTCTTCTTCTCATCCCCTCCTCCTCCTTCTTCATCTTCTTCTTCTCCTCCCCCCCCTCCTTCTTCTTCATCTTCTTCTTCTTCTTCTCCTCCTCACCCTTCTTCTTCTTCATCTTCTTCTTCTTCTCCTCCTCCCCTTCTTCTTCTTCTTCTTCGTCTTCTCCACCTTCTTCTTCTTTTCTTCTTCTTCTTCTCCCCCTTCTGCTTCTTCTTTTTCTTCTCCTCCCCCTCCTTCTTCATCTTCTTCTTCTCCTCCTCTCCTCCTCTTTCTTCTTCTTCTTCATCTTCTTCTTCTGATACCCCTCCTCCTTCTTCTCCCCCTCCCTTTTTCTTCTTCTTCTTCTTCTTCTTCATCTTCACTTTTGTCTGCTCTCAGAGCAGTACCAGAAATCGTTGGAATTTTTTTCGCCGCTGTCTTACTGATTTCTGGATCAATAATCTAATAATTTATCAATTGACGCATGAATAGGAAATCATGATAAGGTGCTTTAATTATTTCTGGTGACAGAAACCAGGCTCGAACGTGTACCCCCGATCAAGAAACATAGACATTGTTCTTAAAGAGTTCTTCTCCTCATGAGATAACTGAAATTGATCTTTAAACAGTTATATCTTCAATGCATAAATTGATTTTTTTATCCACCTAGCATGACTTACAGTGTACAAAACGGTATCCCTTTTTTTCGGAATGCCGTAAAGGTAAGATCATCGTTCATTTCAACAATTCTCGCTGTTGTTTCTGCGTAGAAAGGTAGCATTCAAGATATCCAAGAATGGCAGAGCGAAAATCTAGCACTTCATTACTACCAGTTATGTAAAGTTTCGTGTAGAATTTCTTCTAGGTTTCTCTCAATCTTTAGACAAAAGCCATGTGTGGACCGGAAGTTACATCCATCAGTGAGTCGTGACAGCACCTCATACTAACTCAAAATTGTGATGACGTCAAGGGTAGTACAACAGGTAGCGATTGAACATTTTTTTCTTTATTTGTACAGGAACAATTTACTCGACCTGTATTACTTACTGCCCTACCACAGCAAAGCACCTGATTTTTTTCCACTGCTTGATAAACGTCCATGAGTTGCTCTTCGGAAGACTTTGGGATTTCAGGGACTCCCAACAATTGCCCCTTGCCTTTAAAAGATACTATTATTGCCGGTCTATCAACCTTTTCAACGCCTGTAAGTGCTTGTAGCAGCTTTCAATCCCACTACATCACTAATTCTTGACAGTTGTTTAAATTAAATTTATGCTGTATTTCTTTATATCTAGCTCCTCAAAAGTTTCTTCTAAGGCGTAGAAAAGAAGAAAATAAGCTCTCACGACCTACTCTCTAACAAACAATATTGTGTCCATTTTACTGAGGTACTAACAGCCATTACTGAATATGTATATCACGCTCTTGATAAGAACGGCGAAGCTCGTGCTGTGACTATATTTATCGAAACGCATTTGACAGGGTTTGACACGCTAGTCTTCTAGGTAAGTTCCAGGGCTACGGTATTACTGGACGATTGTTTGAATTGGCGGAATTGTTCCTATCAAATAGTGAAATGACAGTCTTTTTGAACGGGCTCGCTTCTAGATCCTTTCACACAAACGTGGGTATACCCCGGGCTCTGACCTGAGTCTTACGCTGTTTCTGATCTACATATGATCTTATTTATGTCATCAGTTCCTAAGTAGGCATTTATGCTCATGTCACTACAATTTACTCTTGTCTCAATAGCCCACAAGAATCCCTTCTCCCGACTGTATCAAAGCGACATGTTTAATTGCAACAGGAGTATCTTTTGTCTTGCTGGTAATGAGTGCGAGCGTGTCCTCAAAGATGCGAAGCCGCTTTTTGTCTCATAGAATAAACCAACGTATAGTATGTTCGATCCTAGAAATTATTGTCGGCTCTGCAAGAATGTGCGGAACAAGAGCATAACTTTGATCACTCTTCTATTCAATCAATTCGAAATGTTGAGATCTACAGCAGATTAGGCTGAAGTCTTTGCTCGTAAATTCTCTTCCATCTCAACGCTCGACGCTATTGGAGTATGCACACCTGATTCCCCCACTAGAACTGAGGCTCTGCTGAGTGACACTCGCATAACCCTGTCACTTGTCTTAGACATCATTTCTAAATTAGACACCCATAAGTCAAGCGGAACCCAGCGGCCGTCCTAAAGAAACGTGCTTCCGAGCTGGCTGTAGAGAACTACAAACTCTACAACTATTGTCTCGTTGCTTGGTAAACAGTAATAGATTGCTCCTCTCTTGAAGATTTTGGTATTTCAGGGACTACCTACAATTGCTACTTGCCTTGAAAAGTTAATATTAATACTGGTCTGTCAAACGCCTGTGAGTGCTGGTAGCAGTTTTCCCTCCCACTCCAACAGTAATTCTTGACAGTCGTTTAAGTTAAATTTGTGTTGTATTTCTGTGTGTCTAGCTTCTCTATTTTTTTTCTAAGGCTTTGAAAAGAAGTGCGATTTATTACCAGGTTTTCAGTATCACACCTGGATGCTTCCGCAGCATCCATTATTATGCAAACGCCATTTCTGTCAGTGGTTCGTCGTCTGCAGCGAGACGGGAAGTAAAATCTGCAATATAATTCGAGTTGTTGGAACTGTTGCCGCTGCTACTGTTGTTACTGTTGCTGATAATTTCTGAACGATGATAGAAGTATTTTCACTGTCGTCATTACCACCACTGCTTTGCCTGCTTGAATCACCATTTTCTCATGTAACAAAGTGACGTGTATGAAACTTTGTTTAATTTCTTCATAAGCGATTTTTTTTTCTACTGGCAGTTTCTAATGCATGCACTTCAGTGCTCTTTCTTCCTTGTGTTTTAGTTATTTTTTTTTATTTTACACCAAAAACGGAGCCAGGTCGTTCATTCTGACGCCGATACATTAAAAAAATTCTTAACGTCTGCAATTTTTATCTGTCCCAAAGCATCTGATTGAAGTATGTCAAAAAGATCGACTATCTTTTCCGCAAAATGTTCTTTGTTTTTCTTTTTCCTTTCCTATAGTTCTAGTTAAATTTTTTTTCTGTCAAAAAGTTTGAGTAATTTATCATTACAGTGGTAAATTTTTCTGATAGGAATTCGTGCTTTTTGCCAAAAAAAAGAAATTTCAACATTTACGGATTGATAAGTGTCACCTGGTAGCTGTCCACTTGAGATGAAATTTTGCATACATTGGTTTTCTGTTAATTGGAACAAGATAAGCGGATGGGTGCTAAACTTTTAGAAAACTGAAAAATAAGGGGAACAGGAGCGTCCAAAACTAAGGGACAAAATTTTAAAACCTAATATTTGTTAGAAATAACAACTGTGAAAAGCTGAAATTTTGACAACTGGTAGTCGTTATCCTCCATAATAACATACTAAAATTTGAATCATTTGGAAAGGATAGAAAAAGAATTATAACAATTATTTATTTATTTTCAAAATAGGATCGTCCAAAAGTAAGGGACAAAATTGAGAAAAACAATGTAAACAGTATGCTATATTCAAATTTTTTGATTTCCTCTAAAGAATAAGTCTTACTTAGTCATTTGTAAACGTTGCATCAGCCGGCACCATGGCGAAACGCCAAAACTTGATTACTCTGTGAGACAAGCTATTGTGAAGCTACACAAGGAAAAGCACACCATTAGAGAGATTTCAGAGAAAGTGAAACGTTCCAAGAGTGTTGTAGGCAGGGTTGTTAAATCCTACAATGATACTGGCAAAATAGTTAGTGCTTTTAAAACCGGTAGACCCCGCAAACCTTCGGCAAGAGAAGATCGAATAATGCAGCGTATGTCATTAAAGGACCGTTTTAAGTCTTGCACAGAAATTAAAAGGGTTATGAATAGTACCTCATGTGTTAATGTGTCAAGACAGACTGTTTGTAGACGACTGCAAGAAATAGGGCTGTTTAATCGAACCCCAGGGAAGAAACCACTTGTTAGTTCGAAGAATAAGAAGAAGAGATTAGAGTTTGCAAACAGATATGTAATTTGGACATATGAAAATTGGGCAAAAGTATTTTTCAGTGATGAAAACAAGTTTAATTTATTTGGAAATGATGGAAAAAACAATGTAAAGAGACATATTGGTGAAAGATTAAGTGCAAAGTGTACTAAGAAAACTGTCAAGTTTGGGGGCGGAAGCGTCATGGTATTTGGAATGTTTTCTAGCCAAGGTACAACGCCTCTTGTCCGGTTACAAACTCGTGTAAACGCGCAGATCTATAAAACATTGTTCAAGATCATGTTGTGCCAATCATACAGAATTCAGGTTTCGATAGGGCTACCTTTATGCAAGATAATGCCCCATGTCACAAGGCAAAGGTGGTAATGAGTTACCTTAGCGAGCAAGATTTGGAAATTATGGATTGGCCACCGCAAAGTCCTGACTTAAATCCAATAGAAAATCTTTGGAAGACCTTAGGAGTGAAAGTTATGGAAAGAAATCCCACTAACACGGAGGATTTGTGGGTGAAGCTTCAAGAAGAATGGTCTAAAATTAGTATCGAGGATTGTCAAGAACTGATTCGTTCTTGTAGTCGAAGATGCAGCTGTCATTGAGAGAAAGGGCTCATTTACTAAATATTGATTGTACATGTATTTTTTATTGTTTTTTTGCCGTTTACATTGTTTTTCTCAATTTTGTCCCTTGCTTTTGGACGTTCCAAATTTGAAAATAAATAAATAATTGTTATAATTCTTTTCTATCCTTTTGCAAATGATTCAAATTTTAGTATGTTATTATGGATGATAACGACTACCAGTTGTCAAAATTTCAGCTTTTCACAGTTGTTATTTCTAACAAATATTAGGTTTTAAAATTTTGTCTCTTAGTTTTGGACGCTACTATATATATATATATATATATATATATATATATATATATATATATATATATATATATATATGTATGTATGTATGTATATATATACATACATATATATATACATATATATATGCATGTATATATATATATACATACATATATATATGTATGTATATATATATATACATACATACATACATATATATATATATATATATATATAGGTGTATCAAAAATACTTTTATAAATGTTGCGGGTGGGTTTCTGACATCAAAACTAGGTAAAGTGTCCATATAAGCATATGCCCAAAAGGGCATCGTTGTACCTCAACATAGCAACTCATAACAAATGTTTAAAATGTCCTCCCTTTGCTTCTACACACGAACGATTCCGTCTGATCATTGACCATTGGCGGATTGTTTCAAATATTCCCACACGGTGTCGAATGGTTTCGCAGACCGATATGGCACGTTGATGAATTGTTTCTGCATTATTAATATCTGCTGTATAAACAAATTGTTTTAGGTGACCCCACAGATAAAAAGTCAGATTAATGTCAGGGGAGTGTGCAGTCGATGGGGCCGATCCTACCCTACCTATCGATTTTTCATGGAATATGTCAGCCAGTAGGACATCGCGAACAATGTGGCTGATATGTACTGGATCTCCTTCATGAATGAACCACATTCGTATTTACAAGGGTAGATCCTCTAGCAGGTCTAGAAGTGTGCTCGAAATAAAATACCCTGTAGGCAGCTCCTGTAAGACGTACTGGGAGAATATATGGACCTCGCAGACAGTCACCTAAAATTCTAGCCCCACATTAATCGTAAATTGAAGCTGGTGTCTGACCTGTACAATGGGGATTCCAAACTGCCCACAAATGTTGGTTGTATAAAATTGTTATTCCATCTCTTCGGAATTGTGCTTCATCCATAAACAAGACTGAAGAGACAATAACGGATCGGCAATTTGTGCAATAATCCATCGGAAAAAGTTCTACCGTGGTGAGTGATCTGCAATGTTATTGGTGCTGGCATGACATCTCAACAAGAGTCACTTTCTGCCTAAAAAGAAACCGCTCTCTTTTAATACCTTGAGAGAACCTTCTCTTGCCTTTCATCAGTATGGCTGATGCTAACCTCCATCTGGTGCTTCTAAATATTTAGAGAATCTTGAAAAAATCCTCAGAAAGATCTGCAATGTTATTGGCCCTGACATGGCATCTCAATATCAGTCACTTTCTGCCTAAAAAGAAACCGATCTCTTTTAATACCTTAAGAGAACCTTCTCTTGCCTTTCGTCAGTATGGCTGATGCTAACCTCCATCTGGTGCTTCTAAATATTTCGAGATTCTTGATAAAATCCCCAGAAAGATCTGCAATGTTATTGGTCCTGACATGGCATCTCAACATCAGTCACTTTCTGCCTAAAAATAAACCGCTCTCTTTTAATAGCCTGAGAGAACCTTCTCTTGCCTTTCATCAGTATGGCTGATGCTAACCTCCATCTGGTGCCTCTATATATTTAGAGATTCCTGATAAAACGCAAGGAAAATTTGCAATGACCTAGCATCTCAGGTTCCGTCACTTTCCCACCACGATATTGTAGCTTCACTGTGCTTTTTCAACAAATATTTACATGATAATTTTTCTGATGATCTTTTCTCTACGGTACCTAAATTTTTTTTAATGTAAGCACAGTACAAGATTGGCGACAAGCTTTCATTTTGCTGCTGAAATGGCTAGGTGGAACCGTAAGTTCTATGCTAAACGTTCCTTATCTTGCACTTCTTCATTGTGGAAATCTCATCTGATTTCCGTTTACGGATGAAACTCAAAAATTTAAATGCAATGTCAATCGTATTCTTAATTTTTGTACTTTTATTTCTCTTTTCCTCAATAATGCTTTCTTTTTTTCACATTCTCTTACACGAAGTAATCCCTTGCATCTTAGGGGCTTTATTGCCCCGTGTAATGGGGAAATGATAAAAATGATGGTAATATCAGAGATAGAGGTAGGGAGAAAAGAAAAAAAATGTTGTGGACAAAAGTCTCACCCTTCTCCTTTTATTTGGTTTCCCGCCTTTTGTCCTCCTTCTGTCCGTGAACCAAACAAAAGATATAAAAGGATGTAACTTAATTGGTTAGTAATGGACATATGAAAATAGCGCGAAAAAGATGCATTACTTATCACACAATGATAGATTGCTTTTTTCTTTGACAAAGACAGAGGTAAGGATGGACGGGTGGGTGGGTTTTTGTATAGTAGCAGGTTGGAGAATGCCATTAAACACGCGCGCATAAAAAAAACAGGCTACAAACACGCACTCATTTACATTTAATAAGTATAAAAAAAACGCATACAATTACCCTAATGTAAATACGTATATACTAACGCGAAAGATCCTGCACACTTTGTAAATGATACTGGAGCTGTTCTTGATGTACCCTCCATGCAGTAGTATAACATGTACGACATGCTACGGCCACCGACAGTCTATAGAATGTGTTATTCGTATTCAGGCGTACGGGCACATCTGGGTCTTTCCCGACCCATAGTTTTTGGTGCCACGAATCCTGTCTCAGCGACGCGACGATGAACAGCAGGAAACATTCGGTCTGTAAACGCAATTTGATACAGCCGTGCAGCCTCGCGTCCATTACCATTCGCGCGGCCGTATGTAAAAAAAAAACATATCTGCCTGCTCACGATATAAATATCCTGCCATTGTTAAACGGAACACCT